AAATGGGCGGACTACACAGTCCATTTTCGGATTGGATTGATTGTCAGAATGCCAAGCAATGGCAGCAAATTAGTTTTGAAGAAGAAAACGAAGATGAAGATGGAAGATGGAAAATGCGAAGCATTTATAGGGGGTGGAGATGAAGAGACAGAATATGAGTAGCCACATTCTGCCTAATAAATGGAATTAAATAGCCCAAAGTCTTGGGAAAAGTGGTGAAAATATCAAAAGAAAATGGGCAAGATTTTTAGCACAAAGCAGTTAAATGCTTGAAGAATTGACGACTAAAAAAAAACAAACGTCAAATAAATGCACAAGAAATTAATATATATGTTTATTAATGATGAAAAAAGTTACAAAGGGAAAATCAAATTACAAAAGAAAAAGGCATCATATGTCTTAATTACAGTCCACCCCATACTGAACGAATTCGTTCTCTAAGTTTTTCCCAATCCTCGTTCTGCCGAGAGGAAGTGATGTTCAATTCGGCCACGACATCATCATCGACTTCCAACTTCTTGTACTGCTCAACCAAGGACTTAGTTCGCTCAATTCCCTGGGAGACATTGCGCTTTTTAGCAGCCATTCTCGCCTTGCAGTCGTCCCTTTTGGTTTGAAGTTCCTTCATCTGAGCAGCCAAATTAACCATCAAAGAGTCTTCAACCATGACTTCGGAAGAGATTTCTTTCAACTCGTCCTCAGCCTTGTTGATCTCCATACGCAAAGACTCTTTCTCAGATACGGCTCGAAGATATTGAATACTTTTGGCCTTTAGTTCAGCATTCTTGGCCAGCAAAGGAAGGACCTCGGAGTGGATAACCTTCAACGTCGCTTTAAAATTGACAGAAAGATTGAGCGATGGAAGCGTCAGTGCTTGCTCCAACTTCGCATTCAAATGCTCAAGTTTATCCTTGTGTCTAGCAGCACTAGCCCTTCCAATGTCCATATCCATGAAGGACACGTACTCAAATATCGACTGTTTGAGGAACTTCAAATCTTCCTCTGAAGAAGTAGCGTGACGATCAGATAGAGTAGGGCAAGACGCCTGGACTTGCCCCCAGAAAGCGGACAAGTCTTGGATAGAATGCACAATCTTGTCAGCATCTTGCAAAGAAAATTGCCAATATTAAAGATTCTCACTACAACGAACAAGATAGAAATAAAAGTGAAGCAAAGATTACCTCATCAACAATCGTGGAAGATGGCATGTCCTCAGCCAAGTCTGCTACCAACGACTCCTCCATTCGTGAGGACTTCCCCTTGTCTGAGCGAGAAGATGTTGCCACAACGGGCGGACTCATAGGAGTATCCGCAAAACTCAAGAGCAACAAATTAGAAACCAACAGCACAAGCAAAGGTAAGACATTAAAAGACTGAATTACCTTCTGTTTTGATGTTTGGGGGGTTGACGCCCTGGGAAGAAGGTGGCTCATCCATGGGTTGTGATGAGGACTCTGGGACTGAAGATGTCTCTTTAAGCGTAGCCCCCTCATCAACCGGTTTGGATGAAGCAGCCTCAGCGGAGGATGATGGAGCAGGAGCTGTCGATGCCAAAGCCTTTGAAGGAGAGGCTGAGCTTTTCTGAGAAGTCCAAAAGATCATCAGCACACAAAAAGGTTTCAAGTATGGAAAAGTATGCTTGTGAGTAAACCAATTTAATTACCTTCCTCCTGACGATAAGAGGGGCATCATCATCATCATCAACATCATTCTCCAGAATGGGAGATACTGAGGCTGGCCGTTTGCGGCTTGGGGCACTCTTGGCTGTAGTAGGCTTGGCAGGGAGAGAAGAAGATGGACGAGCAGACTGTTTAGTGCGACGAGAAGGAGAAGGACTCCGAATGGACAAGGGAGTGACTAAAACAGGAGGAGGGAAAGAAATGCTCGGTTGGTCTAGTGAATGAAAGGCTCAATTGGCGTTAGTCGCAAATAATCTGCGCTTCACTGACGGCCAGAGCTGTTCAAAAAAAGGGTGAATGGCGTGGCTAGAATTGAAGGGGGCTAATGAAAAATGGCTGGTTAAAAGAAGATTGCGAGTATTTATAGCCTCTGCCTCCGCCTTATTAATAGTATGAAAACGATCAATTAACTTGAATAGTAAGGAGGAATAGGCCAAGTTTGGCCGAAACCAAGCTGGCGAGCAAAAAATTGGGGAACATAAATTTCTAGCCCCGCCTTGGCATTGGTCCTAGTTAAAATATCATGAAATAGCTCCCTCCCGGTTAAAAATTGGATCCAAATGAGCAAGGAGGTGCTCGCGCTGTCTATAGTGGAGGGGTGATGTATTGCCAATTCGTGCGCTATAGGTAAATAACTCAGGGAGGGCTTTATGCTTGGCACACACAAAACATATTTACAAAACCATACTAGAAGGGAGGCCACTCGCTCAGTATGGGAAGGCTCAGCGCTCGAATGATTGTGAAGGGTTTGCAGACTTGAATAAGATTCGGTATAGTTTTTACCAAACTTTGGGGCGCCACCAGAAACCAAAATACCAGGAAAAATGGTATCGCCCAAAGGTGGTAGATTCATCAGGGCCTCAACATCCCTTAAGGTAATAGACATGGGGCCAAGAGGGAAAATAAAGGTATTATACTCGAAAGACCAAAAACTCAAAGCAATCGAAAAGAGTGCTGAATCAAAAGTAGGGGGGCGAATAGAGATTTCTAACAAATCAGAAATCCTAGCGCTATCAAAAAATGTCTTAGTAGAGCCATGACCCACAAGACGAGCATGCCACCTACGGAAAGTTACATCAGATTTAGGCCAAGTGCAAATACCTCTTTCGCGAAGTGGCCCCAGCGGCAGAGAGTTTAAAAATGGAGGGCCTTGAGTGCAAGGAAACAGCTGACCCACCGCCGCCTGTTCAACTGCCTCTGCATTGTTGAAGAAAGGACCCAAGTAGAACTCATTACGTTCGACATCGACGGGCGCGAGAAAACTCAGAGTTATGTATGGGCGACTCAGAAGTTTCTGAAAGTCATCAAAACTAAAGGAGTCGCCAGTTTGAGATTGTGAAGTAGCCATTTGAGATGGAACGATGTTTTTCAGAGTTACGTAGCAGAGAAGCAAAAGATGAACAGTAAATCATGGGAGAGACGCGAAAAATTTGAGGCGTGATTTAGTGGTGCAGTGAAATGACGTGTTTGGGGGGTTATAAGGGTTAGCAAAACGACGCACCTTTTCAAGTTATAGAAGAAAACAACGATTGAAATTCTTGAAAATTTCGAATGTTGCTGGAAACACAAAGTGAATATGGCAAAATTTAATAATTATTATTAATTCTGTTATATTGGGGGGTAATTGTTGACACATAAAAATTCAGCCCAAATCGAACGGCCCAAGGAGTGAAGCCCAATTGGAGGATCTCCAAATCAGATAGCCCAAAAAACGAAGCCCAATCAAACAAATCAAGATGAAGGCCCAAATAGGGAGGCCCAAGAACACGGTAACGCCATCGCCCAAGTTTGCAAGTCGCCCAAAATCTGAGCGAATGGAGTGCCATACAGTCGCCCAGAGCTGCTACTCAATTCTCGCCCAAACCTTCAAGTCGCCCAAGGTCTTAACAAACATAAAGCGTTGTAGTTATCAAGAAGTGCAGTTATCAAAGCAGTTATTAAAGCAGCCCTATCACGTTCCACGATTCAAGGAATTCAATCGAAAGCGGTGGAACGACGAAGAGTAATGGTAGCAGTTAAAAAAGATAGTTTTCATGACAAGTTGACCATTACGAGGAAAGTGGGCAGTTATAGGACGATCAAGCAGTTTTTAGGCTGTTGATCACAAAGAGATCGTCCATGAAGTATAAAAGGGAGAAAAGACATAAAGCAAAAGACCGAATCAAAAACTCTCGAACAGAGAACATGTAATTTTAATTTTCTTAGTTTTAGAATTAAACACTTTTTTCAGTAACTCGTGTACTTGCGCCCCTTGGAGGCACTTTGTTTTCGATTTCCAATTGTAAAGTCATCGCCAATAAAAGAACACCCATTTTTGGGACTTTGTCTCAAAAGGTTTGTCCCTTATACAATCGTCTGATCCTCTTTTAATTGTTAGCGACTAACCAGCGCGAAACAGTTATTATCCGTGTTCAATGATATGAGATTTTGATGTTGCAATTGATTTTGGCGGAATGTTTGAAATTATAGGCTTTAGTGTTTATATTTGATTTCCTTTCATTTTTTCCTTTAAACCCTTTTCATCCGAATTTGTTTCTCGTCGTTGGGGTTTATGTTGTAATTGGAGTTGTTGTTGCCTGCTGTTAAGGAAAAAATTTTAAGTATGTAATCTGTACTGTATATTGTTGTAAATCGTCCTTGGAGTGCTAGGCAAGAGCCAAAAAAAAACTCTCAACTTTAATTATTGAAGCTTACCATCGTTGGATCGCCAGAGTCACAATTGAACATCCCTAATTTTCTACTCCACAATAGAAATGTCTGGTTTTGTCACTGACCACCACCATACACCAAAGCTTTTGCAGTCGACGACTCCAACATTTTCCAAATAAAAATGGTAGCCCATCTATTAATGTTGGATATAAATGCAAAGACAAGAATACCCCTAGCTAATCCTTACAAAACAACATAGGTTTAGCCGCAGCAAATCTCCAACTCCGTCCCAACCCCAACCCCCGCCACCTTAGATCTTACTTATAATTCGATTAACTAGATTTTTCTTTTCTTGAAGAAAAGATGATCCAATTATCTAAAACAAACACGTCCCTATACATAGAATCCGAATTAATTCCAATTTCAAGTCCGTTTTGAGCCAAGGAAAATAATCAATTATAAGCATAATATACGACACCACAGAGAGAAACTTTCACCTCTACCGCAGGCCCACAATTTTTATCCTGCAACCGCCGTGGATGGGCCAATCATCTTCCAGATCGAGGCCAAGATCATCCAAACACGCCGTGATCTCGCCGTTGCCATCAGATTCCGCTGAACCAGTTGGCATCATGTCCGATACGGACGACGTCATCAGTGGGAGTGACTACACGTCGAACCTGCCGGACGAATGCCTGGCCTGCATTTTCCAGTTGTTATCGTCCGGCGACCGGAAGTGTTCTTCCATTGTGTGCCGCCGGTGGCTGAGAATCGAGGGCCAGAGTCGACACCGCTTATCGTTGAATGCTAAGTCTGAGCTTACATCCGTTATCCCCAAATTGTTCTCGCGCTTCGATTCGGTCACTAAGCTTGCGCTGAAGTGCGATCGTAGATCTGTTAGCATAGGAGATGATGCGTTGATTCTGATTTCTATGAAGTGTAGGAATCTCACCAGGCTGAAGCTCCGTGCCTGTCGCGCCATAACTGATGATGGAATGGCTGCTTTTGCCCGAAACTGTAATAGTTTGCGGAAATTCTCATGTGGATTTTGCAGTTTTGGGGCCAAAGGCATGAATGCCTTGCTCGATAATTGCGAATTTCTTGAAGAATTATCGGTGAAGCGATTGTCTGGTGTCACTGATGGTGTTGGAGCAGAGCCAATCGGACCGGGAAAAGCTGCTGGAGCTCTGAAAGTTATTTGTTTGAAAGATCTTCACAATGGTCAGTGTTTCGGGCCTTTGATTATTGGGTCCAATAATTTGAGGAGTTTGAAGTTGTTCAGATGTTCCGCTGATTGGGACAGTTTATTGGTAGTGATAGCATATCGGGTTACTGGGCTCGTGGAGCTTCATCTGGAGAAGCTTCAGGTGAGTGATCTCGGGCTCTCAGTCATTTCAAATTGTGTGAATCTTGAAATATTGCATTTAGTGAAAATCCCTGAGTGTACTAATGCTGGACTTATGGCTGTTGCGGAAAATTGCAAGCTGATTAGGAAGCTGCATATTGATGGATGGAAAACAAATAGAATAAGTGATGATGGGTTAATAGCTGTTGCAACTCATTGCCCTAATTTGCAAGAGTTGGTTCTAATTGGTGTGAATCCCACAAGGTTGAGTTTAGAGAAGTTGGCAACGCATTGTCAAAATTTGGAAAGATTAGCATTGTGCGGGAGCGACACTGTTGGGGATGCAGAGATATCGTGCATAGCTGCAAAATGTATTGCACTGAAGAAGTTGTGCATAAAAAGTTGTCCAGTGTCGGACCATGGCATGGAAGCATTGGCTGGTGGGTGCCCCAATTTGGTGAAAGTGAAGTTCAAGAAGTGTAAGGGGGTGACATCTGAGGGAGCCGATTGGTTGAGGGCAAGTAGAGGTTCTCTTGCTGTGAATTTGGATGCCATGGCGCCAGAAATACAGGATGGGAGTGCTAGGGAGCTAGAAGCTAGTGATATTGGAATTCCACAAACAGACGACCAAACTAGGGGCATTAATAGCTGGAGGCCAATGTCTTTTAAGGTGAGGTTAGGGCTTTTAAAGGGGAGGGGCTTAGTTGCTTCCACATTGAGGCGGTGGTCTAGCTTTGGTGGCAGTTCTCGGAATAATTTGGAAAGAAGTTGAGCAGGATTTGTGGTGGGCAACTCCCATTCCTTGTCCGTTCACAGTATTCTGCATTGTAGTTCGATATATTTATTTCTGTTTGCTGTTGAATGTCATTCAGTAATCTCCATTGTTGAGAATAGTCAGTGATTTCCCGTGTGCTTGTGAGTCTGATTTGTATGATGGGATGCCTCTTGACATGATAGTTGGGGTCTCTAACCTTGCTTCCTTAGTTTAAACAGGAAGGAGGAAATGCCTAATAATCTCTTTATACCAAGACCTTTTCGTTGTCCTCAACTGACTAACATGTGTTAAAGCATCCAGTTAGTTACCAGCCATATTCATGTCCTTAGTCAAGTTGCGAAAAATGATGCCTTGAACATATGAAATTGTTGGATGTCAAATCGTTTTATGTTTTCTAATTCTTTCAGAATGTTGATCATCAGAACAAAATGAATTAGTTTCCTATACTGCATTCTCTAAGTCCCTTGTACTCCTTACGAACATGTACAGTTAAACCTCGATAAAGTAATACACTCGGGATCGAAAAAAAATATTCATTTAGCGAGGTTATTTATTTATCGATAAATGAATAAATTATTC